AGAGAAAAAGCTAATTCGAAACTGACGTTTCACCTGAAAGAAATATGTATTGAATTTTATATAAAATGAGAAGTGGAAGAATTTCAAAGAGCTGATGAATAAAAATACTTAAACTACTCTGTTTTCTTTTCTCAATTTTTTTGGGCGATTCCTTGCATGATAATCAACCATTGCATGAGAGATATCCATCAGTGCCTCTATTGAAAATTTCCTCTATTGAGAAAATTCCAAAACCTCTCGAGATCACCAGATTTGCATGGATACAATCTAAGAAAATATTGGAGTTCGGCGAATGAATCGAGATTTTATACAGTTGCCTCTATTATTGATGCAGCGAAAGCCTATGTTTTGTTGTGGCTTCATAAAAATTTCAATAAGGTAGGAAAGAAAGAGGAGAAGGCGAAAAGAATGGGAAAACAGACGATATACTCGACAAAGATGCAGGTTGGGTCTTCCTATTCGAATGAGAAAAATGTTGTTCACTGTTAGGGTCAAATAAACATACGATCAATTGATTAGTCATATATAACTTCCAAAAAATCGCTATTAGTCACCCGAAAACAAGATTCATTCATGCCTGTAAAGTTATTTCCGATTATGAATATATGAAAATGATAGAAAACGTTTTCGATTGCGAGTTACAGAGTGATTCATGAAAAATCGACCCTTTTCCATTTCAATTAAGACGCACTGCCCTGTCCAAAATAATTTTCGTCTCTGAATACTGATCATATGGATCGTTATTCATAACAGTCCAATTTGACCGTCTATAGTGCGACACGCCTTATACAGATAGTTAACACCATAATATAAATATTTAGCCTAACATGCCCTATAAAAATGGTGCTGGTATAGAATGAAAGAGTTTATTTTGTTCAGAAATCGCCCAATCTTGATGAATCACCCTGTATAAGTTGGATGAGTCGATGTCAGGTCAGTTTATTGTATGAGTATTCCAGTTGAAGAAACTACTGTGTGTATTTGAGAATGTTTCCTTCTGTTGGGAGCATCAACTTGCCCTATCAACAGTTTTGTAGATACTGCGTTGTCTTCCAGAATTTCCATTCCTTTCCAGGAAACCAAGAACTTACGGCGAAGGCAGGCCATTGCTGTCAATGAAGATCTTGCTTAAATCACAGCCTGGGGAACCAACAACCTAGTTGAATTCAACGCTGCGAAAACTCGAGCCTGTATTTTCTCTAGAAAGGTGGAACTCTGATACCAACATTCCCACCAAGTTAACTATATCTCTGCTCAGTTCAAAAGAAAAATCCGACACCTACCTCCTCTCTCTACCCTGCCTAGGTATGCACGATGTTCTTTTTTTTCATGTTCAGGTTCCCACGAAAAGGGATATCCTGTAATGTTCAGAGAACATCGTGAGAACCAAGGGAAATAAGGTAGGAATTGTGGTGTTCATCTTAAATTTCTGGAGGTTATTTGCCTCGGGGAACACCTGCCTTGGCAATGTGTTCCGGAGCCTCGCTGTTCGTTGGGTGAACGAGTCTTTGGAAAGAGATGTTCTGCATGCAGGTCTCCAAAGTGACCACGAAGGGGTGCGAAGCCTCAACTCGACGGGATAATCTCGCGGGGACTGCCAAGGGAGGAACAATTGTTGATATTCCAGAAGAGCATCGTCCATGAAAATATATATAAAATAGGGCCAGATCGCCAACTTTTCTACGGTGTTCCAGAGAAGTGAGTGAGTTTGTGAGCGAGGCATCACCCATGAGACGAATTTCCCTCTTTTGAACAGAATCCAACAGTTTCAGGGTATGTTTGGGTGCTCCACTCCAAATATGGGAACAGTATTCCAGGACAGGTCGGATCTGTGCCTTATAGATCATAAGCAGCTGACTGGAAGTGAAATTGCTCCTGGCCCGAAACAGAAAACTAAGTTTTTGGGATGCAATTTTAGCGATAAAAAAATAACTCCTCCAGCTATTAGTCATGATATCTACATCCAGATTTATCCGGTTTTCGGCAATCGTTTGAAGCCTAACCTTGTCGACCTATTCCCAACTCTAGGCCATAACGATAAATTTGCCTGGATGCGGATAGACCATTTCATATTATGTTTATCTGGGAAACGGAAAAAGTATCGAAATGGGGCGCGTATAGATGCGTCTTCGGCCATACAATATGCATAAATCAGGATATCTGGTCGAAATTTGATGGTGTTTTGTATATAGGTGGCGAGGTGGAGTGTACAGACATGAGCGTCTCCATCCAATGTGTCCATTGTTTATTATATAATTAATACCTGTACCTACACAGTACACAGTACATTTTTATTCAACGTCAAACACTCAAATTGATACAATATCGCCGAAGAAAATATTACAATTATAATATGGGGAATGCTTTCGATCGAAAGTGATTTCTCAAACAGTTTGAAATTTTTTTTTGTGTTGTTTGAATTCATTCCAATAACTTTGATACATCTTAGAAGAGTATAAATGCTTTTCTACTGATGATCAAATCTGATGAAATTGAACACGGTAGTGACCACTGTTGATGGTACCGCTGTGGTTCGAAATAGCAATTTTTTTTTAGAAGTGCGAAATGATTTTGACCAAACCAACCAAAAAGGGATGCCACATATACGGTGATTGTTTATATTTTATGCAGCTATCTCAGTTGATGTTGGTTCTACATAAACGTTCAAATGAACAGATATAAAGTATTTTTTATGAACATTCAGAATTCAGTACACTAAAAAATGCGCAAAAGCATTGTGAACCTAAAAATTCTACATCCTTTTTCTAATCTCAAATATATCTACATATACGTCATTGAGGTTATCTTTGTCAGTTTTTGGAAAATATAGATTTCTTCGTATAGTAATTGTAAAAGGCAGCTGTAGAAGGCCAGACGAAAATGCTGCGATTTCTGATGGTGTTCGATACATCTGCCTCAAGATCTATATTTTCCGAAAACTGACAAAGATAACCTCAATAAAGATTATATAATTGATATCAGAAGAAAGGGCTTCACCGATTAGTGAAATAAAATACCAGTTTACGTAATATTTTTAGATTTTCGATGCTTTTTTGCAATTCCCAGAACTAGATTCTGAATGTCCATGAAAAATTTGAACGTTTCTGTCAGACCAATATCAACTGAGATAGCTATCGAGTAGAATATAAACAATCACCCTGTACATGTGAAAGTTGATATTTTCTTCTCTGAACTATACCGTTATTTTTCGAGATGAAACAACAGTTTCATCGAAAATAATCTGAAACTAGATGATAAAGAGATCGCTATCATGTGAATTTCGGTGATAACTGCGTTGTGCCATTGTCGATCTAAATACAAAAGCTAGTTAGGAGGCGAAAGATTAGCTTTTTCATTTAGATCGAAAATGGATTCAAAGTATGAAGAAAGAATTCAGTCGCTGTATACCCGCGCTGTAACGTTCCCCCGACGCGATGTTGCCATTCGCATGCCCTATATGTAACGATCGCTAAACAATCTGTATTATAAGTATAGATCCGCGTATCTGATTCAATAAAATATGAAACTTTTGATATATTCAACCACTATTCATTTTTCTGTGGATCTACAGTTTCATGATGTTCGGAACATCAACCATCATCAGAATGACTTCTGAAGAAGGAAATTAGATACTGGCTAGAGTGCCGATGATAGTTTTGTTATAATATTCGAAAACCACTCAATCGATAGAATCAATTCTAGAATAATGTCTATCCTCTTCATCTTCATGTATGCACAAAGAGTTGCATGTTTCGAGTCAAACATACTTAGGGCAAACTAGAAGATCAGTCAGAACTAGTTTCAGGGAACATCTATACCATATTTTTGTCCCAATATGAATATTTGACGCTGTCACTGTGTGTGGTTAAGCTTATGGACTTCAAGGCAGTATTCGCACCAATGCTTGTTTATGCGGTTGAAGAAGTGCGAAAAGTCCCCTTTCCCCAATCGCAGTTACATATTTCACTTTTATGGGCCTTTCCTCATTCATTGTACCTCCAGTCATATCTTTGAGTGCTATTACTTTTACTTCGTCTCTTTCCGTCTCATCTACATCATGGACTGTCTCACAATATTTCTGAATGTAATATCTTGTATCAGAACCAATTGTAGAGGTTAAACACTTGACAGACTAAAATTATTGTGAACAAATATTTTGGTTGGTATGTGCAAAGCATTTGCAGATGGAATGGAAGGTTTAACTGTGCCAATCAATTACTTTCCCTGATGTATCATCCTGATGATACCAACAACTATATTATGTTTATACAGGGTTAGTCTGAAAGTGAGGTTTTTCATTTTACAGGCTATATACCTCGCCAAAATTAGTTGTTCGCTCAAAAATTGTTTGAGGCCACTTCACGTCATGAACACAGTGTATACAGGGTGTAGATGAGTACATGTGAATATCAACATTTGTCCAAATTTGCTTCTTTTTCAATGTTCACATAAAAAAATCGTTATTTCATTAAATTGGTGGATTTGCTATATATAGTAACATGGAAATTCTTTTGGTGTAAACAGATTGGTAATGATTCCAGTGTGTTACCTTAGCTCTATTTATGAGGAATATTATCGTAGTGAACAATTCAAAGTGCCATACTTCTTGTTCCTTCTGTATCTCCCTTAGTTTTTGGGGAAACAATGAAAATTCGATGTGACTCTAAATTTTAATGTAAGTGCTCTCAATATACCAATTGAGATAACTCAGTAACCTCAATGAGCATAATATTCTAAAGTTTTGAAATTATTATCACCAATCAGACTGAATTTCTTCACCATGAAAGCTCATACAGCTCCAAATTTTATGTATGTCAAAGAGCAAGTTGAGACACATGTTTATATGGATTTTACTTCCTGAAATATGACAACAAATCATCTCCAGAATTTATTTGCACACCCTGTATATATTTGTTGCAATACTTATCTCACTGATATAACTTCCATACTGTGGTTTGGGTGAAAGGAAAATAAAGTCACATCTAGTTCGTTCTTTATTATTGAACAATGCTAAATTAATCTTGCCCACTTTATTCAAGGACATTCTTCGACTGATCTGATCATTTTGTTGAACTGTTTAACCACTGTTTTGCTCAACATGCAAAAGGCACCGCCTCCCCTGTGTTTTTCGCTCTCCTGCAAAGTAACAAATTAGCAAAATGGAACACATTAGTCTATGCAGAATTTACGTTTCTGTCCATATCTCCAATGCAAATCCATGAACCTATAAAGGAATTACCCATAGCCCACTTTGCGTTGTCTTCTTCATTAGGGATCGTCATTCCAGCTGCTTTTATGAATATTGATTCAATGTTCAGCACCCTAAAAAACATAGTTTATCTGAATGCCAAGAACTCCATGCACAAACGATGAGATCTTCCCAAAGTCCTTGTAATCAATTAAGAGAACAAACTCAAAGTCTCGCTCCAAGTAAATTTTAATAAAATAATACGTGCTACATGTTTCGACTCCTAGGAGTCATCATCAGGCTAAAATACAAAAAACTTAAAATAAATAAAAGAAGTTCCATCACTATTGGAAAATGGGTGACATATACCTTGCTAGGTAGGAGGAGAAAAGAAACTATTGAATTGATAACATGGTTCACACGGGTAGTAGGCCCCAAATAATTTTAAAAAACATTTTTGAATTTTGGTTTTTTGAACCCACAGATAAACATTTTCCTCAAGATGCTTCTTTTTTGTATCAAAAAACTATCAAAGTGTAAAGCAAATGGCGCGAGTATGAAGTAAACAAACCGTCAGACTACTTGATTCGAATTATTTTTTGACAAACAAGTGACAAGTGACAAATGTCATCTATCAAATAAACAAAACATTGAAGTTGACTCAATGGACCATAACATCAAAGTTCATAACAAACAAGAAAATGTGTCTAGATTGACTAAGTCGGGTAATTAAAATTGTGTTGCCAATGCGACCGATGAATGGAGAGAAAGAATACAAAATGGAATTGAAAGTGAATAGGCAATCAAATCTTACTTGTTCATTGAGGCAGACAGTTGAATTTGAATGAGCAGATCTATTGATTTCTAAAATTTCCAGAAGGTTGAGGTTTTTGCCTTTAGGATGAACATGTAGGACTTCAAAATCTTGTAGTATATTATGTTTGTGTTTATCCTCGAGAACATGGTTTGCGGAAGAAGATGTAGTGTTGATAATATCAGAGTTACTATATTTGTCAATTGTCTTTTCATGTTCTGCTATCCTGGTGGAAAAAGCTCTCCCTGTCTGACCAACGTATTCTGTATTGCAATCAGAGCATTTTATCTTGTAAATTCCTGACTTAGAATGTACTGGGTTTTAATCTTTATTATTTACAAAAATGGAATCTAAACTATTATTGGTTTTGAAAGATAACGAAATGTTATGTTGTGCAAAGATTTTTGAAAATTTGAGGCAATGTGGGCCAGAATAGGACATAGATCTGTATATCCTGTTGGATTTTTCGATTGATGGCAGGAGGTTCCTGTTAATAAATTTTGATTGGTGATTATAAAAAGTTTGTTTAATAATAATTGTAATTTATTGTACGAGTTTTCTACTTGTGGAAGCAACTGTGTTAGCGTATCAAAAATATTTTGTGAATCTATTGTTTGTGAAGTTTTTCACAATTCAAAAAATTATTTTCATCCATATGTACAACGTGGCTAAATTCAAATGTTTGAGGGGGAAGTTCAATTCTCGAACTATAGATAAAAGAAAACTAATAGGGTCGACTTTCATTGGTGAAAACTGCAAATCGATATCTATCTTCGTTTCAGAGTTACAAGGTGACTCATTGTTTTTCAGCAAAATTCGTTTGTTTGCATAATTTCCAGGTATTTGTTATGAAATCAGTGATCGTATATCTATAGGTCGAAAATAGAACTTTTCTTCCTAAAATATAAGTCCAACTTATATTCGAACTAGATAATGTAGGAAGACTGATTTCAGTGCCTGAGCACCAATTGTCTTGACAATCTCAATGCTTTGAGAATGTTTTTTCATGAGAATTGACCACCCAGGCACCAAGATCAGTTTTCATCTATTCATTCAGGGAACAGGACTTTCCTTTTTTTGAATCATCATTTCAAATTATCAGGAAATTATCAAATTATTTTCAAATTTTTTTAGGTATAGGAAATTATGGTGGAGAAGGAAAAACATGATTCATGTTTTCTGTTGAATTCACCATTCATCGTTCACCGTGGTATAAACCTCACGACTATATTAATTGAGATATACAGGGGGGTTCTTCCAAAGTTGGACCCGCTGTATAGAGTCCGGCTGAATGTATAGTATTTTGGAAGATATTCTTAAATCAAAAGAAAAAAGTGACGCTCGAAGTCATTTCCACACAATTTAATGACGTTGTTGGATAATCAGGGACATGTTTCGATCTCAAGAAAGACCATCTTCAGCCTAATAAGATGTTGTCCCTCCTCCCTTCGACAAAAACACTCCATTGCTTTGAGCAATATAGACTTCTACCAAAGATATTCTTATATTTTTACCAATTCAGTTCATATTTTCCTTATTCAGATCGATATCACTTTGGAATATGTTAGAATTAAAGGATTAACTCTTACCTTGGAGCTTTGCAGTCAGATGGCAAACCGTCTTCTTTAGAAATTGCACTTCGAACGTAAAGGTCTTCCAAAACAAGAGTTCCAATCACTTTCTTGTATATGTCTCCATTAAGTTCACTGGATTTTGATAAGATACCGACTCTCATTCCATCTCTAGAACTCAGAAAGTCTACCTTAACCTTTGTAGCATTGGCTTTAGAAGGTTCTCCTTTTATGACAGATGACAGCATAGGCAATGATGCCTCCATACCAGTGGCTATATGGGAATCGTATATTTGGGCCTCTCTGCATCTGAGTGCAGGACCTAATGAACAGAAAGTAGAACATTATCAGGAACAAAGACGCGGAACAACCAAACAGAATTATGATTAGAGAATATTCTTTATCGGTAAGATGGAAGAAAACCTTACGCTTATTTCGAGGATGGGAGATCTTCCATCTCACCGATCAAATGACTTATTATGTTAATTCACACACAATGATTTAGAAACACAAAGTCAGTCGACCATGCACACTTTAAAAAGTGAGTTTGTGTTTTTTTGTGTGTTTCTTGTGAATCAACTATACAATTCAATACGATATTCAATGATTCAGAATTCAGAGGATAGGGAAAGGAGGTAGGTGTTGGAAGTTTTCTGAACTTCTGGAGATTATAAGCCTGAAGACCGTTTCCTCACTATAACATCAACAGCAGCGGTCCATAGTTGCTGGTCCACTGGCTCCTTAATCCTATGTGCCGGATATTTTCTTCAAAATTTGTATACCTACCAGCATTATCCAGATTCTTCAAATCCATCGAAACACAACTGAAGAATTCTCCTTTTATCTTGCCAATTTCTGGATATGTCATATCGGGACCAGGATATCCAGGTATAGTGCCAGTGGCCCAAAGACCTCCGTCTGAGTCTGCCAAAATGAGACCTTTGGTATGTCCTGCTGTTTTATTCTCTTCTCCGTTCGGTAATACATCATTGTATACGAGATGAGTCAAATCATCCTGATAGAAAAAAATGCGTTCAGATGGAAGACAAGATAAAATGGTCCTGATTCAGTCAAGTACTAACTCAAACTTGTTCACTACCGCTAATGTATTTATCCTCAGAGCTGTGTGAATTTTTTTTAAATTATTGAAATTCACGATATTTCATAACGCGGGACAACACGAGACGTCATAAATCGGTCAATCCATAGCAATAATTATACAGTGCCCGTCTAAAGTCCATTCCCACCCTACTAATTTCGGAACCACCTGGTATATCGCAACAAAATTTGAAGGGCCCAAATTGGAGATGAGAATCTACTTCCTTTATGAGAAAAAAAACTTCAAGTTTGAAATTAAATGACCAAAATGTCACTTTTTAAACGTTCATATTTCGAAAATGGAACAATATAGGGGGTGTTCGAATAAAAAAATATTCCTTAATTGCGCTCAGCCGTCATTTCAAAGCTTCAAGCTGTAATATTTTCATAAGACCAGATTTTCATCTCCCAACTTGAGGTCTCCAAATGTCGTTGCGATATACCAGGTGGTTCAAAACTTGATATAGATATATAGTGTGAATTGAACGTAAGAAATTCTTGATTTTAATCAAAGTCGATTCTGATTGGAGAAATTCCATAGAACTTTTTTTGAGTACGCCACTGATCATTTTTCGATATCTACTTGAAAAATAAAATCAATCATCTACCTTTTTTCTCACTACATTTTTGTCTGAGTTTTGCTTGGTTTACGAGATATCTGACAAAAATCATTTTGGAGCCCCTCCATATATCATCAGAATTATCGTGTTCTGCAGGTCTTCTCCTCCTTCATGCTGATATTTTGATCACGTATTCATGTTTATTATTTAATAATTGTTTCACCATACAGGATGGCTCATTTTCAACTTGACAGGGAGATTATGGGTGATAATAGCGTAGATACGGAAAAATGCTCAGATCGGTCGATTTTAGTTTGCACCTCCTGCTAACAATCAAAGTCGTTTGCAGATTTTTTTAGTTTTGTTGAGAGTTAGGGGACACATATATCATATTGATTTTAGCAAGCTTTATATCTGCAAAGAAGTTCATCCTAGCATCAAAAATAATAATCGAAAAAATAGAACTTCAACCTATTTCGGATCATCTACTGGAAAATTAGCTTCATTTCTACATAAACAGGACTTAAAAGTAGCATATTATTATAGAACAAATCACACGTTGGGAAGGTTTATCAAAAATAATAAAGACAAAACTTCTGAATTCGAAAAATCACGGATATGCAAATTCTTGTCCTAAGGTATATATCGGTCAGACAGGTCGTTCGGTCAAACAACGCATTTATGAACATAAGATGAGTTTTTTATATGGTACTTTCACTGTTGCATTGAAGGTGAAAATATTCCCTGGTTACTAACCTTCTTTTCGAGGTGAATTTTTATATGTTTCGACAGTATTGATGCATCATCGTCTATACCAAATTTTGAAAGAGTCCATCGAATTTTGTCGGAAGTCATGTAAATATAGGCAACTCCTTTCTTTATCAGTTCATTATCAGATTTTTCAGACCGTGGAAGTTTGTAGACGTAAGCCCTACAATATTTTCAAAATTTCACTGCATTCGATATGCCTTCTGGAAATATACTCACCAATCTACAGGACTCCCATTTTCATTCAAGCACTGCAAAGCATCCGCAGTATACATTAGAATAAAAATAGAAAAAACTTTCAGTACTTGCGACATATTTACTCTATTTAAGTTACTCAAATCAATTGATATTATGTTAACCACTATGGGATTCTAATGTTGAGCTAGCTATTTATAGGAAGTTCAGCTATTTATTATCAGGGCAAAACGCTTCATTATTTCCAAGGTAGCAATTATTAGCATCTTCGAAATCCTTATTTTTAACTAATTATGATCAAAGGAATGTAAGCTTCACAACAATTAGGAAAATTGGAACCCTATCATTGGTAATTATTTGGTGTAGGTCGTAGATAAAAAAAGGTGTTGATGATACATATCCTACAATAACGCTTTATAGGCACCTAATAGCTATCATCAATTGATAAAGAAATCGGTAGAAACATGAGGTCCTAGATAGGTTAGTCTCAGAGATAGTGGATATTAAAGTTGAAGAATTGAAATTGTATAAAATTGTTCTATCCGTCATTCGGTTGCCCCCTTACGAGCAACCCTCAGAAGTCTTCGAGAGTCTTGTGCGAGCAAGGAATGACGGGGGTCTTACCTTTTAACGTGTGATCCCAAACACTTTCTTGGGCCATCAGAAAAATTTCTGCAGTCGACGGGACTCGAACCCACGACCGGCAAGCGAATGCGAATTAGAATATAGACACTCTGTCCGCACGGCTACCTCAGAAACGGCCGAATTTTTCTTGATCGATTTCATGTTAATTCATGTTTTGAGAACACATGTAAATATATATCATTCAGCCGTAAGAAAAATCCAATTGACACAGAATACTGGGTGAATGAAACTAAATTGGAAGAAGTAGAAAAATTCAAGGATCTAGGAGTAGTTTTTGATAGAAAATTTAGCTTTAATACACATATTGCAAAAATTGTAAATGATAGCCTGAGAAATTTAAGTTTTGTTCTAAGGAATTCATACCAGTTTAACTCTAATATCGCAATACTTTTATACAATGCCTTCGTAAGACCAAAATTAGAATATGCTTCAGTCATCTGGAATCCACATAACGTTGTTCATTCAAATGATTGAGAAGGTACAAAAAAAGTTCATGAGGAGTCTTTATTACAGGAAATATCGAGTATCCACTTTGATGATTTCATACAAAACTCAACTATCAGAATTGAATCAAAACACACTACAGCTCCGGAGAAATATCGCGGATGTGCTATTTGTATCAGACATAGTTAATGATAAGCTAAATGTACCTGATTTACTCTTTGCAATAAAACTAAATGTACCTGAAGTAAGATTACGTAAGCGAAATCATATTTTTTATATAGATGTGTCATCCTGCTCACCTTTTGTAAGATGCCAGAAATCTGTAAATGAGCATATTAACTGCTGGGATACTGACATTTTCATTTCTAGTAGTAGCAGAATAAAAGGCACTGTTGCTCATTATTAATTATTATCTACTTAATTGTATATTTTCCACTTTTTATAATAATTAACGTGACCATGTTAGTGGGCTGTGTTGTGAATCTTTCTTTGTTTTTAATTTTTTTAGGTAATTTCGGAAGTAATTTCAAGTGTGTACTGTATGTGATAAAACTGTTATTCTGTAATTGGGCTGAAGCCTGTTGTTTTAGCAGTATAAATAAATGAAATGAAATGAAATGTTTTCATTTCGAAAACCTAAATTTTTGTTGACACAGTAACTTCAGTCATTTCATACAGTGACGTAGGTACCCCAGGAGTTTGTGTTAACTTTCACTCAATATTTTTCACATTACTGATGGAATTGTATCATTATTAATCTGATGCATTTCCTGTTCGATTCTGTTGAAAACACACGAAACCTTCACTTATTCAATATTCTATTTTGAAATTCAGCTCAGTTGACGGATATGCGTTTATTTGGAGAGAAAGTCAAGTATCGAATTCAACCTTTCTTGAATGAGAAACAATGTTTGTTTCTTGAAACTTCAATACTCTGTATCTGGAGATTGAATATCGTATATATGTCCCTACCTTACTCTTTCAAAAATCACTCGCGAATCTTTGGCGATCGATCGAAATTCGGAACATCCTGTATAGCAGCAGATCTCAATTTTTTTGGTGACGGAACCCTTTTGAACAACTAAATTTTCAAATCATAGAAATCGTCCATACTTAAAGAAGTCCAATATATTTTCAATAGAAACAAAAATACTCGTCGGTCGACCACACCTTATATATGTGAAGAAATATAATCAATTGAACATTCAAAATACACGATGAATGTAGAAATGGTGAAAAAATGACTAAAAAGTCACAATAAATTATACAAAAAGTCAATACGTCATTGGTCATCCAGGCAAGTCGAGTGGAAATACGTTTAAAACGGCTGAAGAGCTAGAAAAATCTGGCCCTGATGAGGTTGAACAATGAAACTTTTACAAGTCCAGATATTGACGTCCATGAGACGTCCAGAAGTTGCCATCCATGTGACGTTGGAAAAACGACGTCCTTTTGACAAAGTCTCTTTGAGGTGAGTGCAAGTGCGGCACGAGACGCTGCAATTGACTTGGGAAAAACTTCACAACCCTGAGGGTTTCAAGCTCTTTTTTCTAACTTACAATGAACGATGTGTTTCTTCAAAAATCAATTCCATGCAGACCATGGAAAGTGGAAACGAAAAATACTTTTCTTTAGTATGATGTATCCTCCATGCTTAATATTTGTCATCTTTCGTGTAATCCGAACAGAACCATAAATAGGTTTTTCGATCTGTGGTAGTTACTATAACAGTAAAACTTTTATTATCATCCATTAATACAAAGAATCAATATTTGTCCAATCAGACGTGTTTACCCGTCAAATCAGAAAATAAGTTAATACGTTTTATTACCTATAAACAATAAAACCACCAAGATATTGTGCGGTTGGGGTCCAAATACAATCGGGTCGATTCTGTCCGGATTTTGTTATAACATAACTAAAAATATTGCTGTGTAATGAGAGCAAACATGACAAGACATGAGGTCAATGTCAAAAGTAAATAATCCCAAAATTTTGCCTGATAGCCATACAAAAAATCCTTTTTTTATGTTGAAAACGGAAGCAGATTCGTTCCCGAAACGTCCAAAGATAAGTAAAAAGTTGATATTTTTTCTATATATCTTAATTTCTCTTCTCCAAACCTTTTTCAATACAAATTGTCACTGAGAAGCTAGTGAATTTTTCTTTTAGGCTCTCTGGAAAATTCTTCAAACGCAGGGACATTTTGGGGCAAATCATCTGATTTGTCCTAACTACACGTATATTGCAATAGTATTGACATTTTTATTCTATAAAGACGAGGAGAGAAAATAAAAAAAATCGAGAATAATGAATGTACCACCTCCTCGATTTACAGACAGTATTCAACAAATTATGTAATTCTTTCACATCAATCTTTCTGTATCGTAGAACTTTCAATTAGGCTGAAGATGGTATTTTATGAGACCAAAACATTCCTTCCTTCTTTTGAATTATTTCATCCCACTTTGAACAATATATGGACTTCTACAAAAGATTAACTTGTGGTAAATATTTTTCATGTTCTGGTTCCCACGAAAAGGGATATCCTGTAATGTTCAGTGAACATCGTGAGAACCAAGGGAAATGAGGTAGGAATTGGTATTCTTCTTAATTTCCTGGAGGTTATATGCCTCGGGGAACACCTCTCTTGGCAATGTGTTCCAGACCCTCGCTGTTCGTTGGATGAACGAGTCTTCGGAAAGAGATGTTCTGCAGGTCTCCAAAGTGACCACTAAGGGGTGCGAAGCTTCAACTCGACGGGTTAATCTCGCGGGGACTGCCAAGGGAGGAACAATTGTTGATATTCCAGAAGAGCATCGCCCATGAGAATATCTAGACAATAGAGCCAGATCGCTAACTTTTCTACGGTGTTCCAGAGAAGTGAGTGAGTTTGTGAGCGAGGCATCACCCACGAGACGAATCGCCCTTTTTTAGACAGAATCCAACAGTATCACACGGAGAAAAAATTTCATTGATCACAAATCAAAAACCACTTCTCCCAAGCGAAAACCTCAACAAAATAGGGGACGAGTGAACTATGCATTTGAAGCAAATAACTCGAAACTTTTGCCGAGGTAATAACTTTAATACTCACAACCAATAATTCAAATATTCAACGTAAATTACCAATGATTTGAGATTATTTTATAGCAATAACTCTGTTCAACTAGGACGAAATGTTTACTTATTTATAACTCATAACATATATGATGAACACAAATGGTCGCGTTTTTATATCAAGTGATTGGCATTTGCTTCAAGTGACCATAATGTTTAATCTCAAATCATCTCTCAATTAGCTCTCAGCATCACCTTCATTGCCCATTAATGTATGTTTCATTCATGATGTATTAGCACATTATTTGAGACAAATCAGTTTTCTGTTGGAAGCAAATCGTTTCAATTTTGTTACTACTAGGTGTTTGTATTACTGCAAAGGAAATTGTCTATATCTTTCAAATCATCATTTATTTGCCACAGATATTTTTTGATTTGTTCCCATTGCTTTTCATTCTAAGTATTCAATCGGTTGTGGCCTCATCAAAACAACTTTGTAATTTTTCTAGTATGGCTCTGGTTCCATTTCTGTTTTGATTGCCTTTTCCAACTGCGATTTTTTGAATGAAGGGTAGACAACCATCTGATCGTTGTCATCATTCCATTTGGAAGGTATCGCCTCCATCATCACTTCGCCTGTCTTCACAAATTCCACTATTAGCCATGGCATAGCTGCAACATAAAAAATTATAAGACTTGAATTGTTTTATTGATTGTATAATCTGAATTCACAAACACAATAGCTTGAAATTTCATTTGACTTCTAAGACAAAGAACATAAGAAACATCAACTATAATAACTATCCTATAAATTATTTACCTAGGATGTACATCCGTACCTTTACCTCACCTAAACCCTATATTTAATTCACATGTTATCATTATTATATTCACACTCACCTAAAAAGTCCTCGTCGAAACTCTCAAGTCCCCATTCAAGCAAAAATTCGTATAGTATTCATAAGTATTATCCTGATCTCCTATGTTTTATGGTCAGAATGAAAGCCGGTCACAGTAACTA